CACCCCTGGGCCCCCGGCCCCGTGCCCCCGTCTACAGCCCCTGGCTCCCAGCTCCAGCCCCTGGCCCCTGGCTCCTGGCTCCAGCCACTGGCCCCCAGCTCCAGCCCCTGGTCCCAGCCCCTGGCCCCAGCCTCTGGCCCCCAGCATCCGGCCCCAGCTCCAGCCTCCGGCCCCTGTCCCCAGCCCCCTTTGTTAAGTGTCCCATGCCGGACCAAGGCGGCACACTCGCAGACCAAGGCGGCGCGCTCAGGGACCACTGCTCCTTAGAGGGAACATGGGTAGAGCAGGGCAGAAGCAAGAGGGAGCACATGTAGGTGCTCCCTGGTAGGCTTACTGCGGAGTATTTTTACTGCACAGCAATCCTACTTCGAATTAATAGCGCATGTAGATGCACCTATTGATGGCTTAATTCATCTCCCATTGACTTCAGTTGGAGTTTTACCTTTGGGTTCAGAAGAAATAAGGTTAAGCCAATGCTGAATGCTTCTGAAAATTATGTGTTCCTGCTGCTTTTAACCTGGGTTGTTAAATTCTGCACAAAAGAGGTTGCACTATACTCAGCTACCAGAGCACAAGGGTTCTTACGGTAGCCTAATTGGGAGTGGGTGACCTCGGGCAGATTGTAAGGGGGGCAGGAATTATACTCAGCTACCAGAGCACAAGGGTTCTTACGGTAGCCTAATTGGGAGTGGGTGACCTCGGGCAGATTGTAAGGGGAGCAGGAAGGGTGGTGGTGGCTGGCCCAGCTACTACCGTTACTGCCTAAGGCATGGAAACTGCTTATTCTGCTTCTGGATATTTGGATAAATTTGGGCAGCTGATAATAGAGTTCAACTGATATGGAGTTCCTGAGCACGATAAAAATCAAGCCATCATAGTTCTGGTGTCTGAGGTTTATTAATTTGTAGAATACATTTTTGTAAATTTATAAGTACTGCAAGATCCTCCAAGATAGCTCCAAGACATCATCATGACCAGTAAATTAAGGGCTTGATTAAGATTCCATTTAAGTCACTGGAAGACTTAATCATTTCAGTGATGGGCAAATCATATCTTAAATGAACATACACTACTATCTTCCAAATTTCAGTCCTGATTTACTTCATTCTTTCCTGAAAATTCTTCCCTGGCATGAGATCTTGCCATGTGGATTGCTGGTATTGTGAAAAAAATAATAGGGGTGAGTCAAAAGTGTGTTTACCCTAGAAAGCTAACTTTAATTTTAATGATGGCAAGAGTAACAGCTCTGTTAATGTTTTGGGCCACATCCTCAGCTGATGTAAATCAGAGTAGTTATATTTAAACCAATGAAGATATACCAGTTTAAACGAGCTGAATATATCTGTGTTTGTAAGCAAATGGAAACAATATTGTAAACATTTCTAATATTCCATGACTGTTTACATAACTCCAACTACATGTATCAACTTCAAAGCTATAACTGGATAGAATTCATAACAGTCAAAAATATTTCCTGAAGTACTTAATCATGTTCATTTGTCTTGTCTGATTGTGCTGGCCTTCAATTATTTGCATATTTAAAAGTTATTGTAGTCAATGAGGTTAAATTATACTTTATGAAGGCTATGTATGAACTAGGAGAAGAGGAGCAAATGTTAACATAAACATTTTGTTTTCTCAGAAACCAGAGAGAAGGTTTGCTTACTGTCATGAATACCTGTCAGCTATGTTTGATCCTGTAGATTTGGACACTGTCTGGAAAGAGTCTGTTGAAGAATCCAAGAATCGCTCATTGTCACCAAACGGATTTATAATTCCTGGATTTAAGAGCACTATTGAATCTAACCTGCATTCTCAGTCACTTGATGAGGTACATCTGAAGGAAGTAAGGGAAGTAATGCAAGCACATAGAATCATACAATGATAGAAAAGCAGGATTGGAATGAGCCTCCAAAGGTCATCTAGCCCATCCCCCTGCTCAAAGTAGAATCATCCCTATTCAAACCCTCCCATTCAAGTCTTTGTTTAACCTTTTCCTAAAACTGCACAATCAATTCTGTCACATGACATATTGTCCCAAAACACCAAAAGCACCCTAACCTTCCATAAGTGAAGGAAAGTGACAGCATGAGCTCTGTCAGTGTCCTGCTACTGCAAGGTTTGTTAAAATGCTGTCAAGAGATCCAAGGAAGAAGGCTATGCTGCCTGCTAGAGATGAAAACAAAAACACCCACAATTTGCTCAAAAGTTTAAATTCTTTCCTGGTCCCAAATGTGGGGATTGGTCTGACTCAGAGCAGAAGACAGGCTCTTCTGACCAGGAATCTCTGGGTTTAAGTCCCAGCAGGATCATTGGCACTCCCCAATCAAACTCCCTAGCCTTTGCTGCAGCTAATACCCAATGCTTCAAAGGAAGGCAAAAAAGAACCTCTGACATTTTCAGTAACAGGAGGGGGAAATATTCCTTCTTGGCCCCCTGTGGCAACCAGCTGAGCCCAAAAGCATGGAAAATATCCATAATACAACACTGGCATAACTACTCCTAGATCATCCCTGACCAGTGCTTGCCCAGCCTCTTCTTAAACTCCTCCAATGATGGATATTCAACAACTTCCCTTGGCAGTCTATTCCAGTGCCTCATTGTTCTAACAGTGAAGAATATCCAATCTAAACTTACTTTCTGCAGCTCCAAGTCATTAGTCCATGTTCTCTCTGTAGTAAAAAAGGAAAGGTGTTTTCCCACTTTTCTCACTTCTTCCAATATTTGAAGACTGCTATCATGTCTCCTAGTAAACATCTTTTCTGCAAGCTCAACATGTCTGTTTCTTTCAAACTCTCTTTGTATGACTTGCCTTCCAAGCCCTTTATCATTTTTGTTGCCCAGCTCTGGACCTTCCCAAACTTCCTCTTGTGCTTTTTAAAATGTGGAGCCCAAATCTGTACAGTACTGTAGATGAGGCTTAGTCAGTGCTAAGTAAAAAGGCACTGTCATCCTCCATGTCTTGCACCTGATGCTTGATGTGTCACAAAACCGCATTCACCTTTTGTGCAACAACATCACATTGCAAACTCATAAAGAGTTTGTGATCCACCAAGAATCCTAGATGCTTCTCCATAATTCTGCCATCCAGCCATGTGTTACCATTTTATATTTGTGTTTTGCATTATTCTTCCTGATGTGTAGCACCTCACATTTGTCAGCACTGAACGTCATCCTGTTAGCTCTAGCCCAACTTTTCAATCTGTCAAGATCCTTTTGAATTGTGCTTTTATCATAGTAAATCCATGCTGTCTGCACAGGATCAGCCTTTCCTTCTCCAGATGCTTGCAAATGTATTTCTTTATGACATACATTTGCAAGAACATCTTTATGAAGTTCTTTATGCTCCAGTAACTTCTTGGATACTGAGATAAGGTTAACTGGTCTGTAATTCCTCCTTTTTGCCTTTTAAAAAGAAGGCATTATGTTGACTTTTAAAGTACACTACTTAAAGCAATAAACCCCAGAAAGCTGAATTCTCCTTAGAATACTTGTCCATATACACATCCTTAATATGGGAGCACATGTGCCTCAAGCTGAGAGCATTTGCTGTACAAATACTCCTCACTTAACCTCATCCCGGTTAATGTTGTTTCATTATTACAGCACTGATCTATTAGAGAACATACGCGTTTAAAGTCACACAGTGTTTGGTTATAAAGTTGTTTGGCTGCCACCTGCTAGTAGGTAACTGCTGTGATGTAATTGGATTTGCTTAACATTGTTTTGCTTAAAGTCACATTTTTCAAGAATGTAACTAGGATGTTAAGCCAGGAGTAGTTGTATCAGTAACTACAAAGTTACCTCTCTCCTGATGCTTTATGCTGAGGTCATAAAGGGCAGGTCATGCTTCTCTTTCCC